GAAAATCATTCACCAGAAAAGTTACACAATGCACCTTTAAGCTAGAAGTAGAGAAACCATTCTGCGAGAAAAAGACTCAGAGATATTCAAATAGAGTTACAATTTTTAACCTTAGAATATTGTTTAGAATAAAAAAACATGTTTTTTTCCCAGTCATCGACACCTCCACACAGTACGCTGTCAGCTCCCGTCCCCACCGCGCCGCACTCTTCTATTCACCATGTCTTCATTAGGAATCCTCTTCAGTTTGAGTCCAAGGCCGTGTTTTGAATGGGTGGATCTTTATTGATTCCTCAGACAAACACAGAGGCTCGCGGAGGGAACAGCGCAGTGACTTTTAATAAATGCTTCACTTTGAGAGAAAAGGCTATTATTCTGCGAGTGTATATAGCCACGCAAAAGGAAACAAAGACTCAAGGACAAGAGGGAGGAGGGGACCGAGGCTGAATTAGAACTGAACCAGGACTAACCAGGGCTAAAGGTCTGAATGGAGATTAACCCAAGATGATTTAGGACCGAATCAGGACTAAACAGGACCAAAAATGTCAAGTACAAAAGGACCAAAAACTGTGCTAGGGTCTGAATAGTGTCTCAACGTTGAAAACAGGACTGAACCAGGACTGAACCCAATCCAACCAGGACTATGTCAGAATTTATTAAGAGGTAAACTAAGCCTTAAAGGTGCACTGTGTAGCTTTTTCTGCTTCTTTCTATGGATATCTCATTGTTTAGAATGTTCCACAGTATGACATTAAACAGCTCTACCTCACATTTATTACATTTTATTAGAGATGTAACGATATCCAAATCGCTTGGTACGATATTATCACAATATACATCTCACGGTATGATATTTATTGCGATATTTTGGAGAGGCTGATAGATGTAGATGGGACACTTTTTTGCTTTTAAAATACCTTGACAAGATTTTGGTGTGACTTATTTCCGTCATAATCCCAAAAATTCAAGTAAAAAACATATTTCTTCATGTTGTCTGCACGGAAATGAATCATGGGATATGTAGTTCCCGATGTTTATAAGTTGTTGTTACTGTAAAATCATGCATTTAAGCAAAGGAACTTCTTATTCGATATATTGCGACAGTCCACTTTTGACAATACGATATCACAATATTTTGGTTATTGTTACATTCCTACATTTTATTAGCCACCTAGTGCCTCCAATCTATTTCATTTCTCTCCAGTGACTAGGTCAGGAATCAGAATACACTAGACGGTTCGGAAAACCCCCAGAAGTGTGAGTTCGGGCACCAGCCAATCAGCGAAGAGCAATACAAGTGGTAACAATTCCCGAGATCGAGGATTTAAAGCCGGAACAAAGAGAATGTTCAGTGAATTTTATCAAGGAGAAAGACGTTATTGTCTTTCTTGGTCTTTTTTGGTCTCCCTGACGACAGAAAGGTTTAAAACTGTACCGTGAAACATTCCAGACAAAGAAATAACATCTCCATGGAGAAAAGCATTTGACGGACCCTCCCCCAGAAACGTTAGACAATGCACCTTTAACATGAAAGTAAAGCAAGACTAAATTAGAACTTAACAAGATCTGAACCAGGACTAAAAGACTGCAAGGACTAAAACCAGAAACCAGGACTAACCCAGAACTTATCCTGGGTTAAAACCAAGAATATAGAATAATAGTGATGCCTTCTTGCACACACATCACATCAAAATTTGGATTAAACCTAGAATTTAACCTGGACTAAACCAGGATTTAACCAGGACCAAACCATGTCTGCACAACAGGACTCATCTGTGACTAAACCGGAACTAAACCAAGTTCACATTGGGACTAAACTGGGACTAAATGCCAATAATTTAACTGTAGGTCTAAGCAACAAATATGATACTAGGATTAAACCAGGACTCCAAAAGAACTGAACCAGGACTACACAAGGACTAAATCAGGACTATATTAGATTTAAATAAACTGACTGAAAATAGAATTAAACTAGGATCTAAAGAAGGTTGACACTGGGACTAAAAAAGACCAAAACCAGATCTTAACCCAAACACGGACCTAAATAAGAGATCAGAACTAAACCAGGACTAAACCAGGACATGAGGAATTGAGAAGATCTATGGAAAGACAGGATAAATAATGGGGGAGGACTAGCCAGGCGTGAATATATGGGGGGTCCGGGGATAGAGAGAGAGAGAGAAGAGGGTCTAATGATGGGGGGTCAGACACACATGCAGAGGGGGAGGGGCCAGAGAGTCATGTGACCACTCTGAAAGGGAAGCTGGAGCAGAGACTAGTGATTATCTTGTCTGAGAAAAACACTCCACTCAATATTGTGTCTAAATCCCATTTTCCCCTTTGTAACATGCCAGTGTGGAGTTTGACAGAGAGTTTAGGGCCAAAGTGGTTTAGTGGACTGAGTGCTGGGCCACTAATCAGGGACTAGTTGGTTCAAACCTTTATGTTTGTGTAAAATAATGATGCATATAGTCAGGTGATTTGATGTAAACTAAACTAATTAAGTCCAGGCATCTTGGGTTTAGTCCTGGTTTATTTCTAGTTTATTTCTTGTTTAGTCCTGGTTTAGTTCTGGTTTAGTTCTGGTTTAGTCTGGCTTAGTTCTGGCTTAGTTCTGGTTAGTTCTGGTTTAGTCCTGGTTCTGGTTTATTCTGGCTTAGTTCTGGTTTAGTTCTTGTTTAGTCCTGGTTTAATTCTACTTTAGTTCTGGTTTAGTCATGGTTTTGTCCTGTTTTAGTCCTGTTTTAGTCCGGGTTTGGTCCGGGTGTGGTCCTTGTTTAGTCCTTGTTTAGTCCTGGTTTAGTTTTGGTTTAGTCCTGGTTTTGTTTTGGTTTAGTCCTTGTTTAGTTCTTGTTTAGTCCTGTTTTAGTCCTAGTTTGGTCCAGGTGTGGTCCTGGTTTAGTCCTGGTTTAGTCTTGGGTTAGTCCTAGTTTAAGTCTGGTTTAGTTCCTGTTTAGTCTTGGTTTAGTTCTGGTTTAGTTCTTGTTTAGTCCTGGTTTAGTTCCTGTTTAATCCTGATTTAGTCCTGGTTTAGTTCTTGTTTAGTCCTGGTTTAGTTCTGGTTTAGTCCTGGTTTAGTTCTGGTTTAGTCATGGTTTTGTCCTGTTTTAGTCCTGTTTTAGTCCGGGTTTGGTCCGGGTGTGGTCCTTGTTTAGTCCTTGTTTAGTCCTGGTTTAGTTTTGGTTTAGTCCTGGTTTTGTTTTGTTTTGTTTGTTTTGGTTTAGTCCTTGTTTAGTTCTTGTTTAGTCCTGTTTTAGTCCTAGTTTGGTCCAGGTGTGGTCCTGGTTTAGTCCTGGTTTAGTCTTGGGTTAGTCCTAGTTTAAGTCTGGTTTAGTTCCTGTTTAGTCTTGGTTTAGTTCTGGTTTAGTTCTTGTTTAGTCCTGGTTTAGTTCTGGTTTAGTCCTGGTTTAGTCCTGAGTTACTCCTGCTTACCAAGACTTATTTCAGTCCTGGTTTAGTCCTTGTTGAGTCCTGGTTTAGATCTAGAATATTCCTGGTTCAATTCTGACTTAGTTCTAATTTACATTGTCAAACTTACTAAAATAGATTAAAAAAAAAATCATCTTGTAATCAATTTAATGATGAAATCCAAATTTGTACCATCATATCTTGTCCTTAAAAAGACACTGACAAATAAATATAAAATACATTGTAAAGTGTAGAAGATATTTGTCATTCTTTGTGCGTGTGTTTGACCCTGAAGACTCCTGCTCTTCTCACGAGACAGTCCTCTGACACAATACTGAATACTTTTACTGAATAGTGTGTACTGAACACGGGGAGATAATGAACGGATACAAACTCCACAAGATAATGAGACAATAACTCGTCTGTTTTGACTCGAAGAGGAAGAAGAGAGAGAAGAGGACTGGTGCAGACGGACTACAGACACAGAAGAATAATACAACTTCTCTAACCCGAAATACTTTAAAATAAAAGACTTATTTACCTGTACCAGAGGTGGGACCAAGTCTTTGTTTTGCAAGTCTAAAGTAAGTCTCAAGTCTTTGACCTCAAGTCCGAGTCAAGTCTCAAGTCAAATACAGGCAAGTCCAAGTCGAGTCTTGAGTTACTGGACCATAAGTCCAAGTCAAGTCCAAGTCATCTGCTTTGAGCTTCAAGTCATTTCAAGTCTTTAAACAAAGTACCAAATATAGCTTAGATTTCTGCAATTTATATGAATTTTAAGATAAATTGTACTTAAAAGTCATAGTATATTTATATATGAGTATTTATAGAGTATGTGAGAGTTACTAATAGATATTAATTTACTTATTTTTTTATTTTTAATTGTCTTGACAAGATCTTAGAGTGAATCATTACTATACATAATACTTACTCCTCGCTATCCTCGTCTACAACTATCCATAGGAGGGCCGACTCTTTGTTGTGATGATGTTTACAGCGACGTCAGCTCCCACAGTTTTCTAACACAGAAGTCAATGGATTTGTTTCTTTTATTAAGTCATTTCAGATCATTATTACGATTTAAAATGTCCAAATTATAACATAATGATCCACGGATGTCATAGATTATAATTATAGCAGACACAAGCACAGTTTGCAGTGGTCCAAAGTTATTCCTCACTTTCTTTATGCATTCCTAGCATTGTAGTACTAGTACTCATCACGAGTTTTTCACAACTTTTGCTGGCACACCACAACACACAACAACAACAACTAGCATGCTAAGAGTGCAACAACATTCCTTCCTAGATCACTTACTAGACGCAGACTGCAGATAGTGGACTCAGTTTGACCCTAAGAGCTGCTTTTACAATAAATCTGAGCTGAGACAAGACAAACTTTACTTTATTACATGAAATAAACACAGGAATTCGATTATAGCCAAATCTGATAACGCAGTGAATTTATTTATTTAAGCTGACCAATCAGAGTAAACCAAAGAGTGGGAGGAACACAAACAATAATAGCATCCCAAACTATTTTTTCCAGCTTCCCAGATGATCAAAAAGCAGCGATTCAAAGTATGTTCTGACCTGTTCAACGTGGAGTGTGGAGGAGAGGAAGAGGAGCAGCTGTCTTCATCAGGAGATCACTGCAGACACGTGAAGAGAAAAACACTGGTTACGGATCAGGTAGTTAAGCGAACGCACATACGACTGAGGAATAGTTAGCTCCATCAGACCAGGGAGAGTGGAGTTTGGCGCTGCTATTTTTACCACAGGATATTTTTACAGAGAGATCACATCACACAGACTGGACCCTGTACTTCATAAAGGGCAGGGCATATTGTGGGACATTATGGGCAAATGATAAGACTCTGGATTATGATCACCAAACCTGGACTTTTGGTGATAATGTTTTGTTTTAGGTTGTAAAGTAAGACGAACTTTAAAGGTCCAAAATCGACTCTTGTGAGGTTTAAGCCGTGTTCTAATGTTGTTACCTCATCAAAAACAGACCTAGAGTTGTGTTTTCATGCATGTTTGAGTGCTTTATTATTAGTCTGTCTACATCTCCAAGGCTCAAAATGCTCTGTTCCAACTTGTGATGTCATGAAGTGGTAGTTTTCAAGTTAATAGCTACCGTTTACCTTTAGTTCAGTCGAGATTGGCAGTTCCAGGTATGAAATTGTCCAAATGATTCTCATGAAGGTGTATGCAGTTTAAAGACACAGTGGCGCCCTTCTTGTATTACCACATGACATCACAATGTGGAACAGAGTGCAGGATTTGTGGGTTAAACATGTGTAAATGAAACAAAACACAACTCCAGGTCTGTTTGTGATGAGGAAACAACATTCTAAAATAAATCAGAAAATAATAGTGTAATATGGACGCTAGTGTAGGAGTCAAGACCGCACTAATCGACACTAAGACCTGTCCAAGACCACAGGGTCCTGACACCAGAACAAGACCAAGACCTCTTAGGGTCGAGACTTAGACAAGACCAAGACATTTTGGCACTTTACAGAAAACAAGTTAATCAAATGTATTTTTTCAAGTTCATAACATTTACAGTTACACTCTCTTACTGGTTTTGCAGTGATATTTATCAGCCTCTACACATTCACCGGCCGTAATGAAATACGATAACATTCGTCGAGTGTCAGACCTCGAGTCAGAGATAAGACCGAGACCAGGTGCCATCAAGGGTGAGACAAGACCTAGTCCAAATGCGCTCAAGTCCGAGACGAGACCAAGACTGTAAAAAAGCAGTCTCGAGCCCGGTCTCGAGACCAAGACCGGTCTAGAGAACTACAACACTAATGGGCACAACTTCAAAGTTAGGGCAAGTTTTTCTTCCTGTATTGATATTGATTAATTAAAAAACGCTTTTCAATAAACAATATCACAAGGACAACAACTAGCATGCTAACACAAGCCTACGTCCTGGTCTATGGCTGAAAAAAAAACTTTATAATTAATTAGATACCGACAGCACACAATTTGTATTTAATTAAGTACGTGAAAAAAACAAGCACAGCCCATTTAAAGGTGCACTGTGTAACTTTTCGGTTGAGGATCCATCACTTTCTTGTTTCTATGGAGATGTCATTGCTCTGCTTTGAATGTTCCGTAATATGGCATTAAACAGATGTACCTTGCATGTATTCAATTACACTTTTATAGCTCAAAAATACCTAGAAAAACAAGGATTGTGACTGTGAGTGGGGTCGCCTCTCCACAGATCTGACCTGTAACTTGGTCTGGTTTGGTCTCCATGAAGATAGAAAGGTTTAATGCCATACTGTGAAACATTCCAGACAAAGGAATAACACCTCCATGAAGAAAAGTTACACAATGCACCTTTAATTTATTTCGATATTACGACTTCGTCTTTTCGCGCCATCTACCCCATCGTCGTCGTTCTCGTTGTTTACCCCAGACCCCGTTCATTCTGGTCGTGATTTAAAATGGCTCCTGCCCCCCCTCGGTCTCCTCAGATAAAAGCCTATCTCTGATCAGGTTACATGAAGCAGGTTAGTTCCACAAATGTGATCAAAACGATAAAAACAGCAGCCGCAAAACAGCTTCAACTGAATTAGAGCGAATCAGATCTCACACACTCCTCAGGCCATCGCTGTACTGTCTACAACACACTGGAGATCTGCGAAGTTACACTGAGAATACCCCCAAAAAAGAGAAAGTATAGACAGACTTTTGAATGAAATATGGTCCAGAGTGGGTTTTATGTTATGAAAAACTCCTCAAATTGGATATAAATCAATTTTAAAAAAGGCCTTATTATTATTAGTACTTTTTCTAAGTCTTTGGATTTGGAGAGAGGCTATTTATGAATATTACCGTCTGATTTCAGCGAGGGGATATTGTATAATAAGAACATTTGGTGCAGGGCAAAAAAGAGGATTAAAAGATAAGTTTTAAAATTAACTCTTAAATTTACTAAAACACACTTAATGCGGTTTCAGAGATAGAAGAAGAAATATTTTATTATTTTGCTTAACAAAAATGGCAGAACTATTCATTTAGTCGTTTATATTTCTAAAAAAAAAAAAAAAAAAAGTGGAAAGTTTGAAAGAATTAAAAAGAACAGTGGAAGAACAAGCACAGATGAGAACTAAACCAGGTCCAAACCAGGACTAAACCAGGTCTAAACCAGGACTAAACCAGGTCCAAACTGACATTAAACCGGACTAAACCAGATCTAATATAGGACTAAACCAAGTTGAAAACAGATCTAATCCAAGACTAAACCAGGTCCAAATCGGGACTAAACCAGGTCCAAATCGGGACTAAACCAGGTCCAAACCGGGTCTAAACCAGATCTAATCCAGGACTAAACCATGTCCAAACTGGGTCTAAACCAGATCTAATCCAGGACTAAACCATGTCCAAACTGGGTCTAAACCAGGTTGAAACCAGGACTAAACCAGATCTAAACCAAGACTAAACCAGGACTAAACCAGGACTAAACCGGGTCTAAACCAGGACTAAACCAGATCTAATCCAGGACTAATCCAGGAATAAACCAGGACTAAACCAGGTCTAAACCGGGTCTAAACCAGGACTAAACCAGATCTAATCCAGGACTAATCCAGGAATAAACCAGAACTAAACCAGGTCTAAACCGGGTCTAAACCGGGTCTAAACCAGGACTAAACCAGATCCAAACCGGGACTAAACCAAGTTGAAACCAGGACTAAACCAGATCTAATCCAGGACTAATCCAGGACTAAATCAGATCTAAATTGGGTCTAAACCAGGTCCAAACCAGATCTAATCCAGGACTATACCAGGTCTAAACCAGGTCTAAACCAGGTCCAAACCGAGTCTAAACCAGGACTAAACTGCCAATCTGGTCCTCACGTACGCACCACTTTCAATGTGGGTGAAGTGTCTTGCCTAAGGACACAACGACACCACTGGCCCTCCACTGTGGCACCTGACTCTCCCCGCACTCTCCCATCCAAGTACAAACCAGCCTTTAACTTCTGGGATTTGCCGGGATCGGGATTTGTCGGGAGGTTTGGCCACACAATGTCTCTGACTGACAAAACGCGACATCATTCAGTTTCGTGTTTTTACAGTACACTATTTCCTGAACTAGGAGATATAAAAGTACTTTAAAATGCTCATCAGTGGAGCTTTTTATTTAAATTTTTACTCCAACCACCAAAAATACAAGCACTAAGACACAAAGTACATCACCACTTGCTTTGAAATGTTGAGAATCGCCCACAAACCCCAAGACAATCTGTTGAAGAGTCCAGTCCAGATTTGTGTAGAACCGCTCTCCACTCGGGCTCAAAACTGTGTTCCTAACCCCGCACTGAACTTCTGCGATGTTTAAAACAGGAGCGAGCCGAACGAGGCGGTTTCCAAGACAACCGCTGCTAATTAACGAGAAAAACACAGGAAGAGAAGAGAAACAAGTGACATAATTTAGGGTTTATCTGCGGTTTAATTACAGCTATGGAAAAAGAGGGGAGACAGAACCGAGGTCCGCCCCTGTCATTCACCGTCTGTGGAGAGAGGGAGGGAGGGAGGGAGCGAGGGAGGGAGGAGAGGAGGAAAAGAACATGAGGTTCGGCAGGGTCCGGTCCATGCCAATTTATTTTTTTTTTAGGGAAAGAGAGAGAAGAGAGGAGGAAAGAGAGGGAAAGAGAGGTGAGAGAACTGGGCCCCAGCAATTCACTAGAAAAGGAGGGAGAGATGGAAGAGAGAGGGATAGAAAGAGGAGAGAAAAAGGAGAAAGAGAGAACTTAAGTCCTCTTATTCACTGTCTGTGGAGAGGAAGGGAGGATGGGAGGAGAGAGGAAGAGGTTAGGGGAGAGAGGGAGGAGAGCGGAGGGAGGAGGGGGAGAGGTGAAAAAGCACATGAGGTTCAGCAGGGTCCAGTTTGTGCCAATTTATTTTTTTGTGGAGAGATCAGAGAGAGAAAGAGGGAAAGAAAGAGAAAGAGAGAGAGAGAGAGAGAGAGAGAGAAGACAGAGAGAGAGAGAGAGAGAGAGAGAGAGAGAGAGAGAGAGAAAGAGAGAGAGACAGAGAGAGAGAGAAAGACAGACAGAGAAAGAGAGAGAGGGGGGCATAGAGAAAGAGAGAGACAGAGAGAGAGAGGAGGGAGAGAGGTGAGAGAAAGAAAGAGAGAGAGAGAGAGGAGGGAGAGAAACAGAGAGAGAGAGGAAGGAAAGACAGAGAGAGGGAGACAGAGAGAGGACGGAGAGAGAGAGAGAGGTGACAGAGAGAGAGAGAGAGTCAGAGAGAAAAAGAGAGAAAGAGAGAGAAGAGGAAGAATGAGAGAGGGAGAGAGAGAGAGAAAGAGAGAGAGACAGAGAGAGAAGAGGAAGAATGAGAGAGGGAGAGAGAGAGGAGGGAAAGAGGCGAGAGAGAGAAAAAGAGAGAAAGAGAGCGACAGAGAGAGAGAAGGACGAATGGGAGAGAGAGAGAGAGAGAGACAGAGAGAAAGAAAGTGTCAGAGAGAGAGACAATGAGAGAGAAGAGGGAGAATGAGAGGGAGAAAAGAGAGAGAGAGAGAGGAGGGAGAGAGAGAAGGAGAGAGGGAGACAGACAAAGAGAAGAGAAAGAATGAGAGAGAGAGAGAGAGAGAAAGACAGTGACAGAGAGAGTGAGA